CATATACATCTCCTTTAACTATCCACAGTGAATCCTGCTCTGCTACCAGAAGCACCAACAGGTAATAGTTGCAACATGGCAGAACAGTGATCACATCAAGACCAAGCTACAGAGACACATGGCAGAAAGCACGGTATTAGTACAGTGCTGAAATACACATTATGCAGAAGCATCTGGATAGAAAAGCAAAACAAAGTATGCCTGTCCACTGAATAACATCCCAAAAGGCTAAATTCCAAACGACATCAGCAATTTTAGTGTGCTGCCAAAACTTTTCAGTATGACAACAGGCATTGTATTCTATTGGGATTTTAAGTTACTGCTCATGATGTCTCTCAGCCTTATCTGATACTACCAACCCTATGAAACAGGGCTCCCAGTTCACCCCTTTGAACTCTGGAAAAGTTCCTTTTCCAAAAGTACAATATTCCAACTCAAGGCTCATCTACTCAGACAAACACCAGAAGACTTACAGTCATTCATGCAGGAAGTTCGTTAATAAACTACAGGCAAAATCTGGAATTATTTTATTATAATTATAATTAATAATGTAATATGATGATTATGGTTTGGCTGAGAACGAACAGGCCAGCCTAAGCTAGTCTGAGATAACTGCCAAGTCTTCTGCACATGTAACAGATGGTGGAAGCCTTTTAAAGACTCCCTGTGCTCAAGAACTCTGTGTAATGGGGGCTCGGATTCAATGCAATCACAAAGTAGCTGAAGCGGGTCATGATAAAAGCACACTAAGCAGGATAAGCTACCTTTAAAGTTTTGGGTTTCATCTGAACAAAAGGAGAAGAAAGAAGAATAGTGTGTTCAAGGGATGTGAGGGGAAAGTGACTGTACAACTCATGTTGACTGTTGACTGATGAAAGTGAAACTGTGGTTTTTGATACAGTGCACTAAATTCAGCAGGTAACAGGGTGTGGACGGACAATGGTGGAACTCATTGGAGCTATATACCCTTCTAAATGGGCTTGTTTAAACTTCCCTAACAGGGTGGTTTGGAAACGTTGCAACTTACTTTTCAATAAACCTTATTCTTCCCAAGAACATAATTCATTTTGTGTGCTTACGTCTAATCTCTTTTGGCTCATCTTACTTTGAAAAGAGTTTTGAACTCCAAGAATGTTCCTCAAATACACCCTCTAAGAGTCCCAGAGGCAAATGCTAGAGTGTAGAGGAGGGAGACAGAACAATAAATGAAAAGTAATGTCATACCACTGAGAACTCTCTCAGCCACATCCCAGGTTACACCCGCTGCAGAGAATCTATCTTCCTCTCTAATTCATTTCTTATGGTATCTGAAGCAAGGTAAATTCCAAGGATTAGGCATTTATAGACAAAGAAAAGAGTCCACATTAGAAAAAAAAAAAATCAAAATAAGAATGATACAACCACTGACATCTGATGCTGCCAGTGTACCTTCAGCCTTTCACTGAACCATTACAGTTCTTTCCCTGTAACAAGCAAATATGCTGTGTTCCTTTCTGCAACAATGTGCTTTCCAGAGCAGTATGCAAACTACACTTAAGCCTTGTCTTTCGTTGCATTCATGAATTTAACATTTTATTAATTGGTTTCAAAGAGCAATTTAATATTATTTGGACGAGCTCTCTCAGGCTAGGTTTCCACATGGAGATCCTTCAATCCTTTGTTTATAGGAAAGAAGTGGAGATGCAGGTGCTATCTGAAACCAATTTAGAGTGGAATCAAACTGGGACCTGACTGTCTTTTTACACCAGTTCCATGCCCTTAATTTCAATTAATTATTCCTGATTTATCCATGAAATGAGAATCAGTCTGAAAATATACATTTGCCAGAAATGTCATTACCCTTAAGATACCATCAGCCCACCTATCTGAAAAATAGCGTACTGACAGCTCACAAAAAAAAAAAAAAAAAAAAAAAAAAAAAAAAAAAAAAAAAAAAGTTTTAAAATATAAGCAGAAGCTGTAATTTAGGTTGTCAGAGAAAACCTAAGTTCAGTTTTGATGAAGAACATGGGGCTGCTGTCAGCAAACGTTGCCATCTCTAGTGATGGACAGAATACTGAAACTTCTCTCCTGCCTGCTAATGTAACTCAGATATTTGCAGCATATAATTTATTTCCTGCCTTCACAGAGATGCCAGCAGAGCCCTTTACAACAGAAAGGCCAGGGTAAATCATCTGATTATGAAAAAAGTTTATAATAATGATACCATAGAGAAAATGTATATGACCTTCATATATCTGCAGGGATGATAGAGAGAAGAATAATCCTCTTTCATGGAAGTTCATCACACCAGTGGCAAGGAATACCTTGAAGCCCTGACACAAACATTATTTTTTGTTCAGAGTAGAAAAAATAAGATCTAAAATTCTACGTGAGGTAAGATGAAATCTCAGGTACCCATGCTGTTGTAAAGGACCAAAACATATCCTGACAGACAAAGCAAGATTCTCAACAGTCTCTGTATTGCTTTTTCAACCTGATTTCATACCATAAATGTGACACATATTGTTGAAGATCATCATAAACATTTTTTTGTATGTATGTTTGACCTAAAACAGGGGGTTTGTGACACATTTTGGCAAGCCTGTGTTTTGTTATCATCAGAACTCATAAAAATACCTACCTTTTCCAATTCCTAAACAACTTTTTGCTGCTTCAAGGAATAGCATACACTTATGCACAAAAAAAAATAAATCTATGTCAACAAAACATGATTAAGGTCATAAAAATGAAGCACTGGGAGGTAAGAAAATGCCAGCATTGTCTGAACATCAATAATTGAAATCCCTCATGCCTGTGCATTATGATAAAGTTTTTGATTACATGATAGCATATAGTATGTTCCATGACACCCCATTTAGGGGGTCAAGCAGAGCACAGGAGTCCAGCTATCATTCTTTGTGTAAGGGAAAGAAGTCATTACAAAGTAAAATCTACTTCCCATCTGTAGGCTTTACACTCAAAAATTACTTGAGGTCTTGCTCATGCAGTTTGCAAATGCACAGTAAAGATGCAATATACTGAGATTTTAGTTGTTGAGATCAAATGAATCTTTCCTCAATACACACGAATTTAATTATTTTTAAAGCCTTGTATCTTGCATAAAATCAGTCAACTTTTCACTCAAGATCCAAAATAATCTCCTAACAAATATGAAGTCACTGCTCCACAACCTGACAAGCGATAGACTCAGAGATGAAAGACTCAGAAACAGCAGTGTAGTTTTTAGCACCACATTTTTAACCAGTCTGACATAGTTGTATAAACAAACCAAAACAGATTTATATACTGAGAAATGCTGGACAATCTCATTAATTGAGAACTGATGATAGCCTCCCTGTGGTTTCACATGCAAAACATGTAAGTACCTGCAGACTATGCAGAACAAATTAACACATACATTACTAAATAACACTTCAAAGCAAAACAAACACAAAGTGTATGAGTGGCATCTAGAGCTTGAGGAATACTAAGGAAAAAAATAAAGTTCCTTAATTTGGACCTCTTTTTTTTTTTCAGGGAAAATGTGCATGGTTTGAAACCTGGGTGTGAATATTGCATGGTGGGAAGAGCTCTAATAACTTCATTCCCAGGTGAAAAAAAGATATAGAGACATACAAAAACGTGGGTGCTAGTGACATTCTCTGTCTTTAATTACACGACTCCCAGCCTCTAAATTTTTCACCCTCTCTCCCACTTTAAGTTTAAGGTCCTTGTTTTCACATACAGAGTTCCACAAAAGTCCCTCCTGCTCACATCTCATTTCTCATTTTCTCCTTCTGTTACTGCCTGCGTTCCATCCAAATTATTTTCCTAAACGCCTACTGTACACTTTCTCTGGTCTTTGTATCACGTCAATGCTTGCGTTCCACAGAACTGAGCCATGTTCATTTGAATTGCTATCTAAAATAGTTTCTTTCTGCAAGGTCAACAAATGTTAATATGTAAGATAAAGCAAGCTTCTTTTGTAAGTAGCTGGTTTTCTAAATAAAATTTATCTTCTTTGTCCTGATGCATTGCATACACTGTTTGACTAATGCAGACTGACTTGTGTCACATATTTTCACCAGAAAACTGTGAAAAGTAAAAATTACATCATACCTAGGTTAATATCCTAGACCTTTTTCAATTTGCTGGGTTTGTAAAACCACAGCTACTTTGTGAACCTTTTTTCCCTTTTTTTCCTTAAAGGAAACTTGATTCTAAAAAGATGGGACTGAAAGCAACGCCCTAAAACTGAAGACTGCTGAATTTCACAGCTGCTCATTATCTCTATGACAGTCTGACCAAAACCTCAAACCTGACAGCTCTAATTTCTGCAAAAGTTGGATTATGAATTTTTTATTTCTCAGACATGGAAACAAGCCACCAATATGGATTTTCTCTAAGCTCAAGGAAAAGAAACAGGAAACACTTGCCTAACCTGCAGAAGTACTAGTGGGAGCGTATTTTTAGGCTCGCACCCATGTATACATGTATAGGGCAAGACAGTGTTGCTTCAGTTTTCACACTGCATAGACAAGGGGATATAACCCCACTTCTCTCTTCCCACTGCTCACAGGTACTGCCTTCTGCCTTTGCAGAGGGCAAAATGGGTTCTGGTTCCTGCCAAATCCAAATGCATGTCCTGACACACTTTGTCAGGCACACACAAGCTCTCTCTCCCTAGAGACCATGTGTATTCTCCCTACACCTATCAATTGACAAGGCAACCTGTAAATGTCATGCCCTGTTTCAGAGATTTAAGACTGCAAGTAAGGTCTGGCCTTCTTAATATTTTCTCTTACATCTTCAGCAATAAATTTTTCCTAAATTCCCTTCCCATGTGAGAAGTTTGCTTTTTCCCCACTCATGGTATTTGGTGTATAGTGTGCTCAGGAAGCTGGCAGCCTCACAAGTTTGCTTTCTTTCGCTATTCGTTACGAATAAAATGGTGATATATTAGCAGGTATGAAGGATGAAAATCTCAGATAGCTTTTTACTTAACAAAGCACTGTTACCTGTCGGCATCCACAGTCACATCATGAACCCCTCTCTGAATAACATCTCGAGAGGCAGCTAGGTCTGGTATTCGGTTCAGACTTCTTGTATATAGGTTGAGTCCTCCATCTGTCATGTACCTGAAAATAAATGTGTGGTCAATCAGTGGCAAATGCAGCCATCTGGCAGTGAAGTTTCACTCTAAAGTTAACAAACTGTGGAATTCAAACGTTTAAAGCACGGGTTGTCCTATTAGAATTTAGGCTTATACTAAATGTTCTCACTTTGTGTGCCCATTGCAGGGAGATCAGACATATCCCTATTTTCTAGGATCATTTGCCTTTTTATGTGATGGCTTACAGGCCAAATTGTTTTACCAAAATATATTTAGACTGAAGCCCTCAAGTATCTTAAAAAAATTTAAGTATGTTTTAAGTATAATTTAAGTACTGCAGTTTTGTCAAAGACTAGCACCAGATGCAAGAAGCATAACTCCAGTTAAAAAAGAAAAAAAAATAATCCATAGCATCCATCTGAATGGGAACAGAAATTGAGAATCCAAATAAGTAGTCCCTGCTGGGATGCAATTATTCAGACATGAAAGAGATATTCACCGAAGCCCTTATAATGACATTTAAGAATATGTTTCTATCTGTGTTCCTTTTGCTTGATTCCCACCACTTCACATTATAATGAATGACTAATGAATCGAACAGCGAGTATAGTGCTGCTTACTCACTAGAGAACCATTAAAAGTTTCTGAATTTCAAGCAGCAGCAATAATTTCTGGAATGCCTACCTACAGTTTTAGTTATCTCTATGAGAGCTCTTGGTGCTTATAACTCAGCAATACCACAAGACTGTCCTGCTCTCAAGATCTGCACATATTTTCTCAAAGGACTTTTCATTAAACTGTCTTCCCTTTTATTAGTCTCTTGTTTTTTACATTTCCATATCTCATAATTTTTGGTAACTTTAGCATAGTAACCTAGCACAGAGTTTGCACAAATTTACTTGTGAAGGACCATGCACATGTATGGCACTTAACAAAGAAGTATGCATATACATTAAAAATTTTGGTATACCTTAGGGAACCTACTCAAAGTAAAATTACAGGCTTACTGAAATAAGCGCAGTCCCAATTCTAGGATCATTACTAAAATGATTTACTGGAGTTCACTCCCTATTCAAATAATCTTTAACACGAGTTCTCCCTGAGCCATGAATGGTGGCACTCAAACCCACCTTTCAGTCAAAGCGTGTGTCCAAGTGCACAAGCATTTAACTTTAATAACTCTACACAGACTCCCAGGCACAAGCCAAGGCACACACACACCGCTGATGCTCCAGACGTTCTGTTGGCCCCCTCCCTGTGGTTCCTTCTGGGAGCTGATTTAATTGAAATCAACTGCCTCGGAGACCCTGCAGCTAATACAGCAGCCCTGGAGCAGGAGCCTCCAGCCCCGTAGTTCAGGGTGGGTGAACTCGTGCAGATTGTGAGAACAAAGCTACGGTGGTGTAGCCCTGTGCAGCTACAGTTGGAGACAGCATTTTGTCCTGGGAGTCCTGGATGAAGGCTTTCTAAAGTGCATTAAAACACAAAGGGTTGATTTGTTTGTTTTTAACTAAACTCTGAGGTATTTTACACACTGGTAAGATTTGGCCTGCAGTTCAGCAAGGGATTTCTAAAATATTGGTATCTGGAGTCTGCAGAAGGTAACTTCACATTTGTTTCCAAAGGTAAATTAACAGTCACACTTACACACTAGATTTATCCTTTTATTAAAGAAAAAATGTAGACTTTTTGACAGATTATTTAGGTAGGGGTGAATTATGCAGTAGGTTCCAAGGCTCTGGAACTGCATATTAAATTTAGCTGTGGTTTGAATGCAATCCAGACTATATGGATTTTTTCCTGTATAAGTAAGGCCTGAATGGAGAGACGTTAAAAGTGCAACAGGCCTTCTTCGCACAAATTTCTAATTACTGCTGCATTCCTATCCCCAAGTGTTTAAAGTAATTAAACTGATAATGGAAGAGGCATAAAGGAGATAAGACTTTATACGCCTCAGTAAATCCTGAAATTTCAGAGCTTATTAACTTGTTTTTAACAGTTACCACACCTAAAAATGTTAACTGAGCACATTGCAACTTACTGTCTGTTGAGTCATCCTTATTACAGATGCAAAGAAAAGTCACACAAGATGACTATATTCATCCTCTAATGTGATAAGCTAATTAATACAACTCATAGAGCACTGCAGAGGATTCCCTTATCTTTTTTTTTTTTTTTTTTTTTTTTAAATAAACCCATGCATCCATCAAAGGCAGCATTTATATTTCCTTTATGATAAAAGGTCTTCAGATATTAAAATACTACATTTTCCATATGTCTTTTCCTGTGCTGGCACACATGCATATGGTATCCTACTTGACAGCCACTAATGCTATACTGTGGACAAGCTTGTCAGCAGTGCTCCATTCACAGATCCCTGAGACAGTGCACCAGGGAGATATAGGAATATGCTTGCTTTAAAGTTACGATTTTTCTAGAGATCTATCTTTGGATCGTGCTTGAGGTGAGACACTACTCTAGAGAGAGCTTTGATCAGACTTACATTTGCCCTTAGGAACATATCATATCCAATTTCATCAGCCACCATTCTCTAATCATAGCTATACTTCAAACTAAAAGATTAGACTGACAGCAAGAGTTCTAAATTTATACAGAGTGAAGTAGTGTGGTGTGACGTGGCCATGTACTCTATGGGACTTCTGGTCAACCCAACGTTACCTCAGTCATCAAACAGCCTTGAGATGCCAAAAACAGCACTGAACAGTAATTTGAGTAGCATAGCTTTTTTTTTTTTTTTTAAATGATGCTTTAGGAGTTCTAACATACAGAGAAATGTATGTAGTGACTTATGTTCCAAGGCTGATATAAGAACTGTTAAAGAGTAATTTGAAACACAGGAAGTGCAGTACCCCAAAGTGAATCAACTGATTAAGCAAACAAAAATAAAAATAATTGTCATTCTTCCTCCTGGGTATTCTAGAAGACTAACTGATATATTCTTTTATGAAAAGATTTTCCTACAGCTCAGATGATACGCACAGTTGAAAAACTGCAATAAAGGCCTATCAGACAGACTACACTAGACAATATCTGAAGTGGAAACAGAGAAAGTCAGTGCCGTCAGCAACTGCTTATCATCAGCTGCATTCAATACCATCTCTGCCATCTCAAATAAAACATAAAAATACCAAAAGAAGACCCATCCCAGGGCAAGCAGTGCAAAATGATTGTTTACCAGATAAGTAAGAAATTCCAGTAAATAATGAGAAGTACCTGTGCTCTTATCAAAGTGCACAGCAAAGTCATCTTGATGTTAAAGGAGAAGAACCGAATTTGAAGGTAGCTAGGAATATCACTGGCAGTTTAGGGGCTTATTTTTGTTTTGGCTTTTTTGTATGTATATTTTTATGTTGCAGCCATAATGCAACTTCCACTTGTGTGCCAGAACTTGTTAGAAAAATCCTATTAAAATGTGCCAATCACGCATTAGTTCAAATGGGGGAAAAGTGCTACTTACCCACTATTGATGTCATCGGTTCTGAGGCTTTTCCCAAGAATGTCCCCATCACTCATGTAACCACCAACGTCAACTTCAGAGGACATGTCCAAATCACCACTTCCCTTCTCACTCATGTCAATCTGTGAGATATTTCCAAGGCGAGAAACAGCTGCTCGGCGAAGTGGGGTGGTGTACATGAATCGAGAAGGGTCTGTGTGTATGAAGCGGCTTGCACTGCTGCGAGGGTAACCAGCACCCAGGGACGGGGCATCTCCTGCCTGCAGCCGAGGACTGGCCTGCCCTAGCCTCCAAGTCACTGGGGTCGACCGGCTTGTCAAGCTCGGTATGCTTCGCCCGTTCACCTCAGTTGTCACAGTGCTGTCAAAAGTTGTCTCCAATGTGCTGCCAAACAAAATGGAGAAGTCAGTGAACTGTGCTATCTCTGTTCCTGAGAAACAAGGAAAAGCAAAGGCTGGAAGAATGTATATTTTTAAAAAAGTTCTCTCCTTCTGTGTGATTCTCCATGTGCATGTGTTTGTGTATACAATAATCTTATAAAAGATTAAATAACCTAAAATAAATTTTATAGGCTCCTAAGTAGATGTATATGAAACAATAACCAGCTTTGTGAATGATTGTATAAGACACTTTGACAGTAAATGATTTTAAAGTCACATTTAAGTTGTTGAGGCAGTCTAGCAAACAGTAAGGTTAGAGCCATAGTTTTTAATTTTTCCTTGCAAGTCTCTAATTCTTTCAGCAACTAGTAATACTCTCCTACGGCACAAATTCTTAGCAGCCTACACAAAACCAGTGTACCTGTGGCTTATCTGGGTCCCTCTAAGGCTGGACATAGTTTCTTCCAAATTCTGTCTCAGGTCTGCTATATTCTTTACTGTTCTCATTCTTCTTGTTTCAGGGTCTTCCCCTGGAAGAAAACAGCAAAACCAGAATAAATTTTAATGCACACAGGTGTATAAAGTTGAATAAAGTACACACATGTACACATAGATGAGAATACATGCATATGATTGTAAATAGGCCTGTCCTTTTAATCTTTTAAAAAATAAAACCTCATACTTTCAGTAATAAAACAGACATACACTTATAAATAACATGTGACATTTAAAAAAATCCACCAAAAAGAATCCTGTTGAAGTATCCCTGTTAGGGCCCAAATCTACTGAAACTCAGATTTACAGAGTTGGGATTTTTATCCTCCGTAATCAAGGCATGATGCAGCCCCAGACCACTTGATACATCACACAGCCCATTTTTCCTCCTTGACATTTTACACAACATGGTGGGAAATAAAGCCACAGTAAATCTGTGTCTGGAAAGAAGTGGCATGACTTATTTCAAAGTACTCGTTAAGTCAGGCACTTAATAAAGCATCTTTCCTGAACTCTAATGGTTTCCTGAAGGGGGAGACTATTCTTCAGATGAGATTAGAAAAATATTCTTCTTGGGATAAAAATCTGAACACTCTAAGGACATGTGTCATTTATATAATTACAGATTTTAACAGTCTTCAAGGATCCACTGTGAAAAGGTAGTCTTGTATCTTGAATAGTTAAGTCCTCAAAACTTCCCCTGGAATATCCTGAATAATATTTACTTCACATGATTTAAAAAAAAACAAAAAAACCACAAAAAAACAAAACCAAACAGAAGGAAAAAAATATTATGTGTTACAAAAGGAAAACATAATAAGCCTCAAAGCAACCTCCATAAGTCATATATGAAGAAATAAAAAAGCATGATTTCTAGGATACTCATATATCAAGGAATTTTAGTTTGTTTTTGAGAATAAGAGAATTTCAAAACAAATTCTATGACAAAAATCACTGATTAGATCAAGGCTGGCCTTCTGCTTCTGGCTGTGTCCTGTATATGTTGCTTGAAAGAAAGTTGGCAAGAAGCATCATTACTCTAGTTGTGTGTACAATGCTGAATGTGAAGTGCAAATAATTTCTTTCTGACTCTATCAATGATAATTTTCATATCATACCTCATTTTGTTAAGTTAATTTTACTCCTCATTCTGGATATGTTACCATCAGTAACAATGTGCAACCACTAAGATTAATATTTAACTCTAGATTTCAGCACTCTCATACAGAACAAGCTTTTAATCTGATTTTGGAATCCTCATGACATGGGAAACTGTTTCATCTTTGAGTACATCTAACAGGCAGTAGTCTGGTGAATTTAAACTCAACAGCATACAAAAATCAAGATCAGAAATGCAAGCAGAGGCAAAATACCATATAGCACTATAATATTTCACATTTGTAAAATGTAAAATACACACGCAGATACAACTCTTCAAGTTCCTGTATTTCTCATTCTGTTGCCTCCTTTCCGTCCCCCAGGTTTGTGTGTGAGTTTATACAAGATATAAATTCAACAATGTTGATGTCTCTGAGGAAAAGCATGGTGTGCCATCTAAGTGATAAAACAGTTAGGAGAAGTTTGAGAAGAAGGGAAAAGAAAAAAACAATGGGGTCAACACCCAAACAGGGTGGAGACAAGAAGTGGGAATAGAGGCTCAGCACTGCTGCCAAACTCTATCTTCTCAAGCCACACTCTAAGGGCATGTCCATTCACAGAATTTTGCTCCTTGAAATAAACTACCCGTGTGCTAATATTCACACTCAGATTGAAATGACCACAACTACTCCTGTGTTTCAAGCTGGATGTGTTCAGTCAAGCACCTTGCAGATCAGTGTACCCATGGATCCCATCCAACATTTGCAGAGGTTTCTGCACCATCTTGGATATTCCTGTGAGGCAAAAGGGCTCATGCCAAAGTTAAGCTGGAGACCATTAAGAACTGTCAGATTGAACCTGCTGTTGAAGGCCCAGACAGTTCCCATGCAGATTGTCCATGCCTGCCTCTAGGCAGTTGCCTATGGTGCACTCAGTTCTGCGCTGTCACTGCCCTTTGCTTTCCCCCCTCTGCCAAGTGTACCCAAATTCACTTCCAGAAACATGTTATACTCCTGCCACAACACCTATATTGGGGAGACCCAAGACCACTTTGTTACCCACCTTGCCTCAAACCAGAGGTGAAACAGTAGGTTGTTGGTATAAGACAATTTTCTGTTATAGACAGAAAGGCAAATTCCAGGGTGTAAGTAGCATTAAAGGCAAAGTAATAAGTCACATTTATTTGAGGAACTGAATATAATTAACTTTGCCCTTTCATTACTTGTTTATCCTTGTCAGTTGTCCTTTGCTGTATGTTAACACTGCAAATTCTTGCAGCAAAAATGACAGCAACTGTCTTTTTTAATATATAGTATGGTAAATAGCATAACAAAGCCTCAAGGCATAACTGCAATACAAAGGAAAGGTACATATATATATGGCAAACTGCCAAAATATGTTTCCACAGAGGAGAATATTTCACTTTCAGATAAATTATACCATAAAAGTGGTGCTATTCTATTCTGAAAAGGTGAAAAAAAAAAAAAAAGGGATTTAATCTCTTTTGATCTCTCAGTGATGCACAGGGTAATTTCCTTTCCACCATTTTTTTCTAAAAAAGGTTACAACTGAAGTTTTATGATCTTAAAATACTACATAGTACTGTACAGAAAATCCTCATAAATGTAACTATGAAGTATTTTTAAAATAACTTTTTCTTTCTATCCTTCTCTTAAGGCCTTATCAATGGGTGAACAAGCTAGAAAGTATAAACATTTGAACACAATGATTGAGAAATTTTCTGCACTGAGTGCAAGATCCTCAGACCTAACTTGCATCTGAAATTTTCAGGACAGCCCTGTGGCTTCCCATCTACACCAAGCCTCCTTCTGTAAAGACGACCGTAGGTATGGTGAGTATGTGGTTTTTTTCTGAAAGCTAGCTGCACTGTGTCTGCTAGGAGAGACACTATGGTGCTTATTGCAGCAGTATTGGGACACATCGTATGGGTTCAAAAGGAGCCCAGACTCCCTCAGGCACTTTGTTGCTTATTACTATGGCCCATAGCCATCATAGAGTCCATCCATATTTGCATGACCTAACACATCAGAAATGCTCCCTGGCTTGTTATCTCAAGCAATTCTGTTTTGTATGATAAAGAAAAGCCATCCTATTTCATACATGGAGAGGCTGGGAAAAGACTAAAACCAAGGGCACCCTGAAACCTTCTGTCAAAATTCTGTTCCTCTTACAAGAAATTCTGATGTAAATATTTTACTGACCTCATGAAATATAATCTGCTCAAATCACTTGTAGCTTCATCACTTATGTTAAACATGAATATTCTAACAGATTATGCCCAAATTCTTGCCTATAAACAGTGAACCATTACAGGTACTCTGAAGTTCCTAGAGAACACGTTCATTTCTTCCCCTGTGTGAGATACATACACAGGAAATCAAAATAAACATTTTACAGAGATCACTAAATACCTACATTAAACTTTTACATTCACATTTCTGAAGCTCACCCATAACTGCACATTTAATAATGCTGTTCATAATCATTTCAGTGCTTCTATACATGTAATTACAGCCCAAAGCAGATAATTGTAAAAATAATAATTCCATTAATTGTCTGATTTTCATAAAAGGATTTACAAATAATAAGCAGCTCCCCAGAGAATTGCCTGCTCTTAAATATTAACTCCATTCACAAAGGAAAGTATGACTTTTACTCTGTAGGTGGGGAAACTGAGGTTCACAAGGGAACAGGATTTGCTCAGCGGCATGCAGCTGAAGAAGAGCAGGGAAATGTGGAGAGCTCAGCTCCCTTTGCTAAGAAGCCTCTAGTCTCTAGGAAAAGCCCCTTTTAGCATACTGCTATATTCTCATAATAAAAGGAATGCATAAAAAGAGAATTCTTGGGGGGTTTGTTATTTTTAAATTATAGCTTTTTTACATTACATAGAAAGCAAAAAATTTTACCCTGAATGCTTAAACACAATCAGGGATAATATATCCACCAGCAAAGAAGCTCCAGGCTAGACAAATGCTATATATGACCTTGGAAAAGCAAGCAGCCACTTCAACAATTTGACTGGCTGAAGAACAAAGCTTTGGAAACGAACACTTTAAGCACTCATAAAGGGCTGAGAGATGAAAAGTAAAACCAGTAACACAGAAGCCTTTTGAAGCACCTATGGATACGGACTTCAAATGCTCGCTGGCATGCACTGATATAACAAAACTGGTTATTTAAACTAAACTGAAACCCTGGTACTCACAATTCTGTGTATAGGTGTGAAATTATGAGCAGGGGAGAAGGGGGAAGCAATACTGCAGGGACAATTTGTAGGTAGGCCGAGACAGTTTCTATCTAAAACAAACCTTGGATTCAAGATTTCAGTTTTAAATTCATGAGAACAGATGTAATGAAAATTAAATTATTTATGAGTAAACTAGAAGCACTTAAATGTTTCACTTTATTTTTTCAAACAGCTAAGCAAACTATGCCGAATTATTCACAGGCTGTTGCTGCCCATGCACTCATCAAAAGTGATGCAGACATTTGTCCTCATTTCATACAGTCTTTAGAAGTAAGAGTAAGCAAACAAGGAATAAAGGGTTAGACCCTATTTTTGCATACTATTGCCAATAAGCCCAGTTCTGTCTTCTGAAATCACTGTTAAGATCGAAAATCTGCTCCTTGCAGATATGTGCTAACACTTGGGTCTCCTCCTGCCCTTCCTGATGTCAAGCCAAAGTTAACTTACCTAAGATATCAGTATAAAGGACCTGTTCTAGGTCTCCCAGCATTGTTATTATGACATCCTCATCCAGATGTGCAGTTCCTTCACGCAAGCAGCCTTCCTCCTCCTCCTCTGCCCAGTTCCTGCCGGGGAAATGCGATGTGCAGGATGCATTTTCATCATCTGATTTTCCCCTCTCCTCATTGTCAGTCTCAAAGCCTTCACCTGTATCCTGGTCTCCCGACC